CACATAATCCTTGTTACACACCATTTTAAATGGCTCCGGTGGCTAATAATGCTCAGCACCCACTGGCTGCAACTGTCCACTATAGGTGTTTAAGTATGCAGCAACACTATATTTTTTATCAACGTACCTTGTTGCCGCGAAACCTGTATGTTGAAAGCACTTCATGGCATGTGAGCATGGCAAGTGATAGATTGACCATTTTTCACAGGAGCATAATATTCTGGCTTCATTAACGGTGTGTGTATTATTCCACGGTTGTGATGCAGACCAGTGCGAACTTTAAAAATATTTCGCTCGCTGCAATACTGCAAAAAAGAATGTCGTTGTGCTCGTTTCCTATATTTCTCAAATCGTTTCATTGGTTGTGGCATAAATTCAACACCCCTTTCCATCAATGACGATGCACCTCTAGATCTTTCAACAAACCTCCCCGCCATCTGCTTGAATGACATCTGCACCATGGCAGTGACTGGCAATCCACGTGCAGACTTCAATAACCCATTGAAAGACTCTAACACATTTGTAGTTAGAATTCCCCATCTTCTACCACCATCCGCATGGAAAGTCCACTATTGAAGCTCATGTCGCATCAACCAATGATAGGCTTCTAGGTCTTCCTGCCTGATCAATTCCATTCGCCTCCTAAATTTATACTCTTGGTGATCTGTTGCAGCTATTCATATTAAATCATGCAAGTTCTTTTTAGGATAAGCCCTCTTGAAGTTGGCCTTCAAGTGCCTAACACAATAATGGTGGTAGGCATACGGTTCCTGCCATGCACGCAAATTCTGTACAGAACTTAAAATACCGCCATGCCGATTAGATATTAGACAAATACCTCAACGTTGTCTGATAACGTGCTCCTTCAAGTGATTCAAAAATAATGTCTACGTTTCTTGGCTTTCATTGGCACAAATAGCAAATGCTAGGGGAAATATACTTCCATTAACATCTACTGCAACGGCGATCAACAACTTGATATCGTACTTTCCATAGACATGAGTGCCGTCTATGGATATTACTGGCCGACAATGCACAAAACCATCAATTGCTGGTTTAAATGCCCATAACACATATCTGAATATGTGTTCCAGTATTCCCGGACTCCGCTCAAGCTTCCATTTAACAACAGTCCCGGGGTTAAAGTGTTTCAATGCGGCCATGTACCTGGGTAGAGATGCAAAGGACTTATTCCAGTTACCATAAACAATTTCAAACGCACGTTTGCGCCGGAGAAATGACTGTCCTTAAGGTATAGTGCGGTGAATAACCGCGCTATATATAAAACGGTGCCCATTTTGTTTTTAACCTACTTGTGTCTCTTGAGTCCAAATGAACCACCATACTTTGGTTCCGGACTCCAGCCAGTTACAGTTGAAACTCCAAATTTCTTTATCTGGAGTTTTAAAAAAAAAATTGGCATTGCCAAAAGAGCTGAGGCAGATCCAGGATTTATACTTTATGGGTCCAACCTTTAAGGTTTTTATTATTTAATTCATTATACTTTTTAAGTTATGAGTTGAATCTACTATTTGCCGCAATTTTCATCGATTGTTACATATAAATTCATGCTACGCACCGAAAGTTATGGGTTCAATTGAACCCGGTTCCGTTGTATTGGATACGCCCCTGCAAGAGGGGGTGGTGGAGAAGTTTATAAAAGAGATTGATAGTAGGGGCAAGGAGGCTTGGTAGGAAACTACTCAAATAAATGTGCCTTAACCAAATAATTGTCTATGGGAAATGAACACAGAGTTGGGAGTAAGAATTTCATCTTATTCAGGAAGTAGTTTCACAATCATACAATGCTTTTATGTTAAAAAATCTTTGCATATCTTACACGTGGTTTTTTTGTCACTATAGGTGACCAAGAAAAATTCTCGCAGCAACTTGAGCAAACAAAATCCCTTCTCTATTTTACACGAACCCAACCAAAAAAAGAAAATGAAAATAAACTGAAGTATCTCTTTTACATATTACATACAGCAGTTGTTGGTTCAGGAGCAAATACAGTTCAGTCGTTTGATCCAGCATTTGTGCATAATTCTGTCACTCCTCACAATAAATTCATCGAATACGGTTCAGGTGAGCAAATGGCTCAGGATTTGCTTTTGGTGCAGGCTTTGCAACTTCAGGAGTTCCAAATACATTCCAGAATCTAAGAGTTTCATCCCCAGCTGCAGATGCCACTGTGCAACCATCTGGACTTTGTGCCATGAAAAGTACTCTGGATGTGTGACCAGTAAGCTCGGCTACCTTTACCATGGAAGGATATTTCCAAAGAGTGAGCTGATTCTTAGTGAAACCATGAGAACTTAGGAGCTCGCGTTCATTCTTGTTCCATAGCAGGGCACAAACCTGAGATCCCGTATCAATAGAGTTCACGCAAGCACCAGTATGAGTGTTCCAGAACTTAATGGACCGGTCACTACCACCACCACCAGAGGCTAATAAATTACCCTGGAAAGGACACCAAGCAAGGGCCTTAACAGCAGCTGTGTGATCTTCAAGCCTGTGAAGCCACTGTGTTGTAGAGTTGGAAGAAGCCATTGATCTGTCCCATATATGGAGAAGGTTATCATTTCCACCGCTAGCTAATTGTTGTCCAGAGGTTGACCATTTTAAACCACAAACTTCTTGATGATGTCCTTGGTAAGTGTCAACAATTGGGGATCTCACTCTCACATCGTTGTTTATGATCTGACCGTCCATTCCCCCTGTTGTCAAAATGTGATTGTTCCAATCTAGAGCGCCAATTCGGGATCGGTGACCACCTCTCAAAGTTCTCAGCTGCACCAACATATAAAAACATATATTAGCATAAGAATCACTTAAATTAAGCAATAAGAAAAAAAAATCAAGAAACAAACCAGTCGATTTGCGGTTGTGTCCCAGAGCTGAACATCAGAATTGTTCAGACCAACAGCAATATGTCTACCATCAGGAGCCCATTTTACACTTGTAACAGGACCATTGTCTTCATCAACAGAGACCAGCTCTGAAGTGGCACCATCAGATGCATCCCACAGATATACAGTGCTGCCTAGAGCAATAGAAAGAACATTGCTGCTGCCCCAATCTAATAAATTCAAATAGTAGTCATCCACTAGATCCGGAGCATCTAGTGTCCTTTCAGAAGTCTGCAGAATAAACCAATGAAACCTCTATAAGGACCTTCACATATAATCCTTAAATCTTGTAAAACTCAAAAGTTAAAACACAATTGGCATGATGATTCATGAAATATACTAATAAGTACCAACATTACTAGACCATGAACATATACCAACCTGAGGAATGTGTCGACGGGGTTTAGCAGGCTTGGCCTGTTGAACAGATGATGAGAATTCACTGGGAAAGGCCTCAACAGGAGTGGGTGGCTTGTTCTTGAATGCCAGTATACGAGTTCTGTTCATGTTGAATGTTTCTGCAAGCTGCTTCCTATATGCCTCTCTGGAGGGAGAGTTAACAGCTGGATTTTCCTTACCTTTTTTTGCGCCTGTCAACATGTAATGTGCATAGTCCATATCCATCGCTGATCGATTCGGAATGAACCTATCCAACTGCAACAACCCAAATCAGCAGTCAATTAGATGTCCATGTGAAAAGGAGACACATCCAAAATTTAGATTTTAACCTTTAAGTTCTTACTGTTTAATTAAATTGCACTGTTGAAATTTAATTTCACTAATTTTTCACATATATCTATGCTCTATGTTGAAGTTACTAGGCTCAACTAATCAGAAAACAGGACTTAGCAAACCTCAAATTTTCCTATTAGAATTAAAACCAAACCAAGATGACTTAATTAAATGAAAACCCGTCTTCCTTTTGGCTAAATTTCTTGCAGTTGAGGTCCAGATTACAATCTAATTGTGTAAATATAGAAACAATTAGTACTTTTTTTAGAGACAATAAGTACAAAGTAGGCATACATTTTGACTAGAATTTCTCCTGTGAAGAAGTTGTTCCTGAAGAGGGCAACGAGATCTGGTCTTACTTGCTGATGTAGAACTCAAATATCCTGTATCCATTGTGTTAGCACAAAAAAAAAAAAAAAAAAAAAAAAAAAGTAATATGTAAAGACAAGATTATGAAAGCCTGCAAAAACTAAGATCAGGGTTAAAGACAGATTAATTAAGTCAAATATAATATACTGAATTAAAGAACAAGAAAGTATAGCGCTTGTTGAGTCGTTGGTTGAGAATTGAGAAGAGAGAAGATGGAGGGAGGACCCAATGATGAATTGATGATTAAGATTGATGAGACGCTCCCCCACCCTCTCTCTTCAATTTATGGGTTTATGGCTTTGAGTCTGAGTTGTAATATTTCTTTTCTCAAACGGCTAGTCGAGGATTCTAGGGTTTTTGCATTTTGTATGATACAACGGCTATATTCCTACACATGGCAGTTGCAATTTGTCCAAACAAATTGCTCCCCCCTCCCCCCGGGGGAGAGAGGTCTGATGCTAAAAATTTATCAGTGCCCGGTATTTATATTAATTATTTATTTATTTTAAGTTATAAATAAGGTAAGAATATGATTTAATTTAGTACTTATAAAATAATAAATAATTCGAGATAACTATTTTTAGACATCACAACAAATTATTTGTGAAGGAGGGAGTACTTGTCAAGGAACAGATAAGCAGTTAAGAGATCATAATTCGAATGGTGTAGTAGTCAAAAAATCATAATCCGAACTGGATAGTCACACAGTTAAATTACAATAGTTAGCTTAATAGTAACAATAGTTATTCCCTTATTGAGTACGTGAGAGTGAGAAAGGAATCATTTGATTTTTCTGCGCCTGTGAATGTGATAAAAACTTAGCGTGTATCCTGTCTTTTTGTCATTTAGCAATAAGCCATTTAGTCTGGCCTAAAATTGGAGCAATCTTTACTCATGGATAAGCATATTGAATTTCGTCATAGAAGTCGATGAGTTTTCATAGTAGTGGTAGGACATAATGCTGTGATTACTTAAATTGGAGCCAAATGGTAGCTAGAAATTGTAGTAATTACTGGGAAGGTGCACAGTGAAAGACACCAAGTTTGTGGCACCAAAGTCATACAATAATTTACGTTATACAATTTACATTCATAATCTCATATCTGTGAATCTAAAAGCCTGACATCTGTGTAACAAATCTCCAGTTTTCCACCCTCCCACACATCAAAAACTAAAAAGAAAATCACTTATCGAAAAAAACCCATGTACAACTAAGGTACCATCAGAAACAAACTCCCATGTTATGAGTTATCTGCTTTACCTTGACATTCAGGCTGCTCAGATACACGAACTGAAATGCATTGGCCTGGACAAAAAGAGATCACCCAGAGATGGTGCACTAGGTATGGTATAATATTATTAATCCTATCTAAAATTTTACAAGCCACTAGATTATTGTCTGTATTGATTTCCTTCAGCCCCAGCAGTAAACTATTACTGATGACGACCCACCAACTCCTCATTTAACCGACTGAACACTAACTTAACTGGAATACAAGCTACGACTGTTGGCAGTGTCTCTCGTTTGATTGCCCCATGCACTTGATAGTTGTTGGAATTACCCTTCAGATCACTATGTTTCTGCTGCAAGGCTATTGAAGAAAGTGTTCTTATCTTTTGATTAGAAGATAAACTAATCCTTTTCCCAGACTTTCTTGATAATGTTCTCTCTATGGCAGGCTGGGAGACAATCTTTCTTGTCATGCTTCCCTTTTGAACAACACCTCCAGCGCTAGCTTTTCGGACATATTTGTCACGGTCAAAACTTCCTTCGGGACTATCCAATGCTGATGATGCATGGGGCCGTGCAACACGACCATTGGCAGTCCTGCGAGCAGTCCTCCACAGAGGTTGGAGTGCTGTATCATAATCAGAAGTTTCTGGAAAATTATAATCAATTGCCCCAAGGAGGCCTTCAGAAGAACCATTTGAAAGCGCTTCAATTTTGATAGGATATCCAACTATTGCATGCCCATTTATCTTACTCATCAATGAAATGATAGGCACGCGCTCTCTCTGATAGCTTGATTGGACTTTTAAGTCCACATCGACCAGCATGGTCCTGTCACCAGAGTGATGGTAGTTATTCACAGGATCAAAATACTCACTGGACTCCTCCCAGTAACCTCTGCTTGCAGGTTGATCATCCCAAGCCCAATCCGCCCAACTGAACATGTTTCTGGTAGCACTATGTGGAGTTCTAGATCCATATCCAGCATTTTGCACCCAAGAATTAGTAACTGGATCATCTTGAGAACAACCATAACCTCTCTTTCCCTTGAAATTAGTCGTATGACTGGGTCTTCGCGCAAGGTTTACATCAAAAGTATCCAGAGGCCTCCTGTTAAGACTTCGATTATTCCTTTTCCCTTTTATTTGCCATTTAGATACCTCAAAGCCAGCAGAGACAGTATGAGAAGTGCCATCGGTAAGTGCCAATTCATCCAGTTCCTCACTGCTCATGCTTCCATGTTCAGGTTGTGCTTCAGATCTTCCTATATATTTTGGTTCTAGTTCAATAGATGCCGCACCATCTGCATTAGCAACACGCAAATTTAGCCTGCTGAAGCAGATAATTCTCTACTCGTCTCTATTTAAAGGAGCAATACACATAGAGGAGCTGATTCATGACTCAAGAATAATAAGCACTCAAGAATAATAAGCACTCAAGAATGATAAGGAACTATGCATTCACAATTGGACATAAGACATGATTCTGCAGTTCAGATACAAAACCAACACATGATTCCAGAGAACCAATTCACTAGATCTTCTGAATAAGAATGACCAAGAAATAGCAAACAGCAGGCAGGCGACAGCAACTGCAACTCTTAAGCATGACTGAATGTGGAGTTTCTTTTTCGTTAGGTAATCAGAAAGAACGTCGACTTGGTATAGGGAACAGATATCAAGAAATTGATTTAATTTGATCATGTACACTATTCGCTCAAATGTGCTTTTCCTTGGAATTGGTAAAGCTCTATGATTTAAAAACTGATTACATATCTGAATCAACTCTATAGCCACAAAAGCCAACTCGAAATAAGGCATGTAATAGTTCCTCCCTAAAGTACAAGTCCTTGCTCCTTCGTATAGGACTTTCTGTATAGTCCTTTTAGTCTTTGGATTTTTTTGCATATGGCGTGCTGCTAAATCACAATACCAAAAAAGTTACTTATCAAACTAACAAGCTCCAGTCCTTCAATAAAAACTTTAAGTGAAAACAATCAGTATGGAGCAATAAATATTTAAAAGCCAGATATAGAGGGGTGGAATCTTCAAGGTGTATAAGCTGGCCTAGACACTACTGTTATTTGAGAGAGAGAGAGAGAGAGGCATAGATAAAGAGCCACTTGCTTTCTTCTGAAATAATAAGAATAAACAAAATCCACAACAGCAAGTCTAGATTCTACCATAGCAGATGAAAGTCCTTAATTGAACTTGGAAATGCTAGGAGCCTAGGACTACTTGATACTTGCTCAGAATGCTACAGAATATCGGGGTGTGGCATAGTGGTAAATGAATTGGGTGCAAACGTTGGAGCCCAGGGTTCAAATCCCAGCATGGACCAAAACTACTAGGTGGTTTCTTCGCATCTACCTAAGCCTTGTGGGCAGTGTTACTTATGCAGGTGGGGATACCAGGTGACTGGTAAAACGATATAGGAGCACGAAAGCTGGCCCCTTATCCAAAAGAAGAAAAGAAATAAGTGACACAGAATGTCGGCAAAGTAACAACTCATAGCCATTTTCTGACAGCTTCACCCCTAGAACCCACAGTATAAACATAGAGGAGTGAACAAGGTAGCCATGGCGCACTTACCGCAGGAAGGAGAACCATAGAATGATTTGGTTCATAGACTGACAGTAGAACACACAAGGTGACTCAAAGCATAGAAAGTGAGAGATCGAAATAGTTTAGTTTACCCAATCAGCTCTAGAGATCTCAAAGTTCTAAAATGTAGAGCCATCATAGTGTAGCCTCAAAGATTTTGTTCATTTGATGCTGCTTCATTAGTTATCTTTAAGTTATATTTTTTATTGATAAAAAGAATGTACGTGTAAGGTGGCTTGTGAGAGAATGAGAAGGGAGAAACCTGAGAGTGTGGCCAACTCATCGTCAGTATCTGATTCCGCAGAATCTGTCTCGGAAGAATCAGTTTCAGTATACTCTGTAGACACAGAAGCATTCTGTTGACACAACTCAGCAGGATGAGAAGAATTATCTTTGCGCTTCAATGTTGAAAATTCTATCTGGGCAGGATTACTTTCTTCAACACTCAAAGAGACTCTAGTTTCATCTGCCAAATTACACCTGCTTTTCTTTGCAACTCCTGGCTGCTCCTCTCCCATCTCAGAGAAGCAAACAGAACCTGAGTCAGGCGTGGGGACAGAAACTGATAATTTTGCAGAACTCTCCAGAACTTGAGCAAGAGGGAAGTGTCTATCACGCTTCTTGACAAGAATTTCTTCGGCCAAGCCTTCATCTGACAATTTCCTTTTGTCTAACAAACTTTTTCTCTCAATATTAACTAGGCGTTCTGTATTATAATTCCCATCAGGAACAGCACCAGCATTCCTACCAAGCACAGGTTGGCCAGCACCATCTGAAGCAATTGATGGAGGATCACTATGCTCTGAAGGAACAGTGCTGAGGCCCAAATCCCGTAAGCCTCTCATCCTCGGAGGTGCGCTGTAGTTATCATCGTCTCCACTCAACTGATTTTGATCTTTGGGTTCCTCTTCAGATGAAAAGTTGCATGTTCTCTTTTCCTCAATGAAGAAACCAGATTTATGAGAAAGTTGACGAGACTTAGATCTTAAACGTCTTCCATTTCCATTTTCCAAATATTTTGATGATGTCCGCGACTCTCTTCCAATAAAAACATCAATAGATGTATTGCTTCTATCAGTGGAGGAACAACCTAAGCCCCCATACCTTTCATCTAACTGCTGCTTCTCAAGTTCAAGAGCATGAAGTATTGCATCTTCTCGTCGTGCATACTTCTCTCTTTTCTTCGGAGGCATACCTAGGGAAGTTTCAGCCCGTTGAATAAGTTCATCAAATTCACCACAACGGAATGCTTTCACGCGCTTTGACTTCTCCAAGTTGTACCAATCCCTGGTTAGACACACAAAGAAACACCATAACATTCTATACTAAGACTATGAAGTGTTTGTACCAATTAAACAAAGAGTAATTAAGAAGATGTGATATACTTATGAAGATACAGTATTCTACCAGCTATGAGAAGCATTTCTATAAATCAAGAATGAGCAGCGGAGCAGCATTTAGCAAAAAAGAATTTCAAGCATCTTTTGCTTTTTATTTAACTTAGATGATCATCACAGGTGACAATTTGAAAAGGTCTTAACACTTTCAAAGAGACCATACTGGCCCTACTGCCCAGGACAGGCAACCAGTAGTTTGTCCAACAAAATACAGCCACTCCCTCACCACTGCCAACAAGATTTAAACCACTAACTCACACAAACAGAAGACTCCTAATCAGATAGAAGAAACAAACAAATAGGGTTTGAAACCCAAAATGCTCCCTGTATGTCCTGCATTGGACAAAGAAAAGAAAATAAGATAGAACTTTGGACAAAGAAAAGAAAATAAGAAAATACATGGAGAAGGAAAGTCCTCATAAAGAAAAAGCGCTTATCACAAAATGTCCTGCAATGGACAAAGAAAAGAAAATAAGATAGAACTTTGTAACAATTCTTCCTTTGTTTTTTTTTTGTTTTTTTGATGACCCAGCAATCCCCGAGGGCCAGTTGCACATGGTTCGAAACTCGGTGGGTGATGGGCCGCCCCTCTACCATTCACCACCTAAATACTAGGCTTTTGTCTACGGCAAGGTTTGACCCATAACATGCACCTAACCCACATATCACATGTCGCTAATTCAAAGCCTTGGGCTCTAATTCTCGCTTCGTTAAGTGTCCTCAACCTCGTAACATACGAAAGCTTGTTGCCAACATGTTTTAGGCAAAGCTCACCCCATTCAACTTACGAATATTTGCCCTTCTTTCTCTCCAGTGTACCTTTTGTTCTTTAGTAGTGCACTACCAGCAACTAGATCTTCTATTATGTATATAATAATCTCCTTCTCAAGTCTCAAGGAGTTAAGTGAGACTCAATCTACTCTCTTAGGCAAAGGGTGGAACAACACAAATTAATGCAACCTCCACAAAAAACATATAGAGCGCGCACGCGGGCGGGGGGCTCTATTATCAATATGTATGGGATAAATGGGATCACTTCACAGCAGAAGCAGAATACCAACCTCGGTCATTCCTTTTCCAGTGATATGCAGAGATTTTCCTATAGTTTCCTATTGTTACAGTCAAAGGAGAAAAAAGAAATTTCAAGTTTCAACCAATATGAAGAGCTCTGATCTCCTAAGGCAGCCTGCATACCTATTACCCGTAGCAGTGCTAATTCTTCCAAACTCAAGAATGACCAGGGAATTCGTGATTACCAATCTCTTTCACCCAATGTAATCCAAGATAAGCTTTATTGTTTTGGTAAGTCACTAAATGTTTGCTTTTAACAAGGAAAGCGAGCCAATCAGGAAGCAATATCATGTTCCCTTTCTCTTCCTTCATAATGACTGATAGCAAGGAGTCCAAACTTCTAGCTATGAATCCTAAACTATTAACTATCCTATTATTACTTTATAATGCATTAAGTAATAGTAGCATCAACAATTATACTAAAAGTTTACTGCAACTAAGAATTCACCAATAACATGCAAGAAAATAATAATCAATCTGCAGTAATTACCTTGCACATAGTAAAAAACTTTGAGAATAAGATAAATTAAAGGGTAAAAAGGTACATACACACTGGCATCTTCCCTGCCGAGAAGCTTAACTGGAGTTCCAGATCGTGGGGATATCAAATGAGAAGCTGAAAGCTCATCAGGCCCAAGTATTTTGCCGGGCCACCACGACCCATTTCGTCTTCGGACCCAAACAATACTCCCAGCTCCACATTCCCCCATTCCTGATATATGTTTATATATGTATAAATATACCTATATTATTGGGGTTTTGATTGTGAGTTACCAGAAAAGGGAAAGGAGAATTGGAATTGGAGATTAGCACATGGGAGAATCTAAAGGGAAAATTTGGGGCTAGGGTTAGGGTTTTCCGTTCGAATTTGGGGGAAATTCATAGCTATGGATTTCTGAAAAATTAAATAGATTGATCGTCCACTTAATTCAAGAATTTCAAAGTTGTTCGCTATCAGAGTCTGTATTTTGCGCTTTATGTATGAGCGTAATGAAATTTGATCGAAGTTGTTGAGTCAATTCTGAAATCGGTTGCATTGACTCGCTGATTAAAACGCACGAGTTTTGTCCCTTTTCTTTGCTCATAATAAATGAAAGTAATGATCTGAAAAGTAAAATTATACAATTTGTAATATTTGTATTGCTTTACAAAGATCTGATGGGATTTTTGTTAGAGGTTAATGTTGTGGCTTGCTACTCTTTTATTTTTTATAGTGTCGGATCTATTTAATGGCTATCGTTTTTATTTTTTTTTTATTTTTTGATCTTTATGATATTGTTATTATTCATATGGTATTTGTTGGTGGTACTGATATTGTATCTTTTCGTCTTCTTTAGCCGAGAGTCTTTCAGAAACAGTGTCGCTCTATTCCATCAGGATAGGGGTAAGGTATACGTACACACTATCCTCCCAAAATCACACTACTTGATCGTCTTTGTTGTTGTATTGCCTTTACAAATAATTTTATACTAAAAGTGTATATAAATTTATTTATTTATTTCAAGCAACACGAGTTATGACCCTAGGGCATATTAGTATTAGCTTTGAAAATGACAAGTACGATTAGTTGTCAAAGTGGGGGCAATCCAATTTTTGTAATTTTTGAGTAGCAAGTCAAACTTAATAAGAAAACAAGCAAAAGATGTCCACGTGGTTAACAAACTCAATCCTAAAAAGACTCGAAAAAGTTCAACAAAACAATTGCCAAAGGCAAAATAATATAGAAACGAAGAAGTTAGAAATCATTTTAAATTTATTATAAAAATATAAAAATACTATTTATTAAAAGTCATATTCTATTAATCAAAATCATACGTACAATCCCAAGTGGTTACTGACCAACTAACTATCCCAAATACAATACTAATCCTAGATTACATTTGAATCAAGCCCGTACAAGTGCAGTATATATCTAGGATCTAACTTAAGAAACTAGTTACAGAAGCTTTCACTACAATTACAAACAAATGACTTAAGGAAATCGATCCAAGTTGCGCAGAGTGGACTGCCATGTAGGATATCTTCTGCCTCTAGTGTGCACATGCAAAGCAATTTCTCTGCATATCTTGTTATAATAAAAATAAAAAAAAAAGAGGTGTTCAAAAGTCTCATGTGTTGTGTTGCAAAAAGCACAAGCTTGAGGCACTTGTATATCAAAAATTTTATAATCTATCCACTGTAGCTAGCTATTCATGAACAGCCAGGCATAAAATAAATCTAAATCTGGGGTGAATACTCGACTGCACGACCATGCTTTTTCATGAAGCCTTTTGGTATTGAGGCATCGACATGAGATATGCTTGTTTGATCCAAAAATGGTCATGTACTTGCAGTGTTTTCAGTTTGTCAATCAAGGTGCCTTGCATTGAGTGAACCTGCAGCACCTCTCTTGTCTCCATAATCTTCCTGATCACCCAAGCTGCAAACTTGGGTATGGGCTTGTGCTCCAAGTCCTGATCTTTGATGTAGTAGCTATGTACCCACTTAATCCACAAATAGTCTTTCTTCATTGCCACAACCCATAGTTGTTTAAGTATAGCAACCTTATTCCATAGGCATAAGTTGATGACATATAAGCCACAGCTTGAGGCAAACATATCTTCTCCCGGGAGACTAATACTTTTCTTGAGATTGCAGAGCTTACCAGTCCATAGGAAAGATCGACACACAACTTCAATCATTTTTATGACCTTTTTAGGCAGGAGGAAGGTCTGTGCCCAATAGGTCTGAATTCTAAATAGTACTAACTTGATAAAGTGTAGTCTGCCTGAGTAAGAGAGCAGTTTTATGGACCAGCAATTTATTCTTGCTGTGATCTTTTCTATAAGTGGTACACATTGATGAACAACAACTTTTTGGAGGACATCGGCACATCCAAGTATCTGAATGGGGGAGTACCTTCTTCAAACCCCAGCAGCTGAAGAATAGTTTGCCTCTCATCTGTAATCACACCAGCCATGTAGATAGAACTTTTATCAGTGTTAGCCTGTAAACTAGAGGCAATAGAAAATCTTTGAAAGGCTCCTTGGAGTAGCTTTATGGATTCAATATATGATCTACAAAACATGAGAAAATCATTTACAAAGAAAATATGGATAGTACCTAGCTTCCTCCATCTAGGATGAAAATAGAAGTTCTCGTTCTCTGCAGTTGGTTTACTTCCCTTTGCAAGTATTCCATAACAATAACAAAAAGGTATGGTGACATAGGGTCACCTTGTCCAATCCCCTCTTTCCTTGAAATGGCTTTGTAAGGCCTTCATTCAATACCAAGGAGTATGAGACAGTAGTGACACACTCCATTATCCATTCAATGAGTTTGAAGGGAAATCCCAAGTCTATGAGCATTTTTCTCAGGAACCTCCAATCTAGAGTATCATAGGCTTTCCTTAAATCCACTTTCAAAAGACACATCTGGGGAGACTCCTTTTCTATTGTAGCCCTTGAACAATTCATGGCTAAACAAAATATTGTCAATAATGCTTCTACCCTCTATAAATGCAGACTAAAATTGCCCAATCATATCTCCTATCACTTCTTAAGTCTCAATGTTATAACCTTAGCAATGATCTTATACAAGGTATTGCAACAAGCAATTGGCCTATAATCTTTAACCTGAGTTGGTGAAGGTACCTTAGGTACTAGGGTAATTGTTGTGCAATTCAATTTTTTTAGGAGTTTCCAAGTTGCAAAGAAACTCTGTACAACAGCATAAACCTCCTCCTTCACCACTTCCCAGTTTTTGGTAAATAACTCTATAGGGTATCCATCAACCCCTTGAGCTTTGTTTGTAGGCATATTCTTTATTGCTATATCTATCTTCTCTGTAGTCACTGCCTGGATTAAAGCACATTCTGCTCCATAGTTAAGCAGGGCCCCTTCTTTATGACTTTTGAGTTTGGACATGGGATATCCCCACTGCAGATCCCCATTTGGCCAGTACAGACTGAAATGAATTCAGCTACTACTTGGGCAAGATCGGTGAGCTTTATCATAGCATCAATGTAAACTAAAGTGATTGTATTTCTACTATGTCTGATCTTCCATTGTGCATGAAAGTATTTGGAGTTTGTGTCTCCACACATGATCCAATTTGCTCTGGACTTCTGCCTTAAGACTTGTTCTTCAATAGTGCTCTATTTGTCTATCTCAGCTAGTAATTTCTTTCTTGATCAAATAAACTTTGATAGAAAGGCTAAGTTAGGATAGTAGCTTGTACTATCTCTAGCCCTTGCCTTGCTTGATTTAGTCTCTGAGCATAGGAAGCCATATATGTGTTCAAGCCCTTCAACTCATATGTCATTATCTTCAGCTTGCTACAGATGTTAGCCATAGCCTCTGAACTTGGGTTCTGTTACCATACCATGTGCAGTATTACATGGAACTCAGGCTGGTCCATCATATTTACATAGAGTTTGAAAGGTTTGGGGTGCAGTCCCCTCTGTTGGAAGCATATCATGAGAATAGGAGAGTGGTCAGATATTCCTGGATTTAAGAAATCAACTTCCACATACCCAAACTATTGTATCTACTGGAAGTTCCCAGTGCCCAATCTATCTTACTATACACTCTGCTACTAACTTGCTGCTTATTACACCATATGAAGTGTCAGCCTGTTGATCTAAGTAGAGTCAGTTGCAGATCATTGAGCATTGCCTGAAAGCCTTGAATCACTGTTTCTGTGACAGGTTGCCCAATTCTATCTTCAGTGGACATGATATTATTGAAGTCTCCATAGAGTACCCATGGTAAACTAATAGATGCCCCAACCTGCTGCAATTTATTCCATAGTTCCTCCATGTGTTGTAGAGCATTTTTTGCATAGACAACTATGAGTAATGCAGTGAATTGGCCATTGATATTTTCTACCGAGCAGTGGATAAATTGCTCCTTTACTGCTAGTATTTGAACTGAAAGGTGAGCTTTTCAAAGGAACCAAATTCTCCCATTTACTACTGTAGTGTAGTTACAACAATGGTTCCAATTTTTAGCTACCTTCTGAATAATATTTTATGCTTTCCCTTTTTTAACCCTGATTTCCACACAACTAATAATATCTATTTTATGTCTTGTGAGAAAGAGCTTCAACTATTTCTGCTTAGAGAGCTTGTTCAGCCCTCTAATATTTCAGCTACATATGATCATGGAGGGTTTGGTAACCTTAGAGTACATACAGACCCTCCCCTTATAGTGCTTGGCCCCTCTATTCTTAAGGTTGCAAACCTATTTACTATCTGCATGCTAGTAGGAGCAATTTCCTGATACTTGATGCTATGATCTCCATGTTAAGTAGTGCCACCAGAGATGGCTTTTCCATTTGTACTTTTACTTAGCTGTGTTTGCACACTAGGCTATCCTGTAGATGGACGTACAACATGTAGGGAAGCTTGTGGTTGTGCCTTATCCTGACTAGCCATTAATGTTGGATCAACTACTTTTAGTTGTGTTGCATGTCCTGTGATTGGTTGTACTTTTACTTGCCACAATGGACCATGTGCCTTAGGTTTCTTCCTGTTTCTTCTCCTTTTCTTCTTTGCCACTTCTTGAAAGTCCTCCTCCTTCTGAATTGGTGCAGTTTTCCTACAGGTAGTCGAATCATGCCCAAACCTTATGCATTCAACACAAAACTTTGGTTTCCAATTATAGGAGATCTGTTGTTAGAGACACCAAAGGGAGTATCAATCTCAATACACTCAGGCAGAGGCTGGGATACATCTGCCTCAACCAAAACTCGAGCATAAGAGATCTTTTCCAATTCTGCAGTAAACTTGTCAGTGTAAAGTGGCTTTCCTACTCCACTGGCTAGTTTGCTTAATGCTTCAGGGGACCAATACCGTATATGTAAATCGGGAAATCCAGAGAGGGATGGTGCTAAGACATTCAGGATCAAAATAAAAATCAATTTCCCAATTCTTTAATATGAAAGGTTTATTGTGGAATGTATATGGTCCAACATGCATTACCAAATCTCTATCTTCTACTTTATGGAATTTGAAAATGTAATACCCTTTATCATGATAAAGGATATTAGGTTTTGTGACAAAATTTCATACCGTGGTGACATAATTATCCGTCGATCGTGCAAATGGAG